GCTGCATCTATCATAAATGCGATTTAGCCGCCAAGTGCCCAAATGGCAATTACCTGTGACTATGGGGACACTGAGATGGTCACAACTTTGAGGGCCAACTGTTTTTGTGACCCAGGCCCAAGTAGGTATTATCAGACGCAAACAGTTCGAAACAAACAGACTTTATTAGAACAGATGAGAATTAACTCATTCTCAGCGTAGTCCAAACTAATTCAAAACAAATTCTTCATAGCACAATTCTTCAGCCTTATCACCAACCTTGATCTAATTAGGCAACCTGCCAAAGGCTTTTCTTGGCAAAAATTCGGGAGCAGAAGATGCCGACAAGAAATAAATGCAGCAAGACAAGAAACAAATCTATCAATGTTGTTTTCCGACAAAGAGCCCAAGAGCCATTGCTGGTCTTTTAAGCCTTATGGGAGGGGCCAATCATCTCTTGGCCTCACTCCCGAGTCGTCCTTTTTGCTTTAGCTGCTCTTGCCTTCTGGCAGCTCTTCTCATGCATGCACTAGGAACAGGCTCCTCCTGTTCCTCTGTCTCTCTGCTGTCAGCCTCTGGAGGCTCCGGAGTCTGCACATCACTCCTAGATGGCCCTGGCCCCATCTCTGCCTCTGACGCAGAGCCCTCATCCGGGCCTTCTCCAGCCTCCAGGACTGGCCCATGTTCTTCCTCAGCCTCCTCACTGTCTGACTCTGCTGCCAGCTCCGCAGGCTGCTGGCAGACCACAACAACTGTAAATCTTTTTGTTCAGCACCATCCTCACTTCAAGTGGTCACAGAAGGAGTGGTAACTAAGTGAGGACTGCATGTATTAGGTCGACACATTTTTAAAGACAGTGTCAACTTCAAAAGGGACCAGGCCTGTCGCAGCCATCTTTTTGTTTCTCAGGTTGCCCCACAGTATGGGAAGACGGGAAGAGGCTGCCAAGGAGACACCAGAACACCTACTGGACAATGAGGGAGGGAGTTATCCATTCTTTAATTATGTCAGAGCTGGTTTTATTTTCAATCGTGCCGAAATGATAGACTCAATAAAACAGTTCTTTGAGAAAGTAAAAAGTCTCAGAGTTGCTGAATTGGTTGGGTTCATTAGTCGGAACCTTGACAGACGAGTTTAATGTTCTTTTCGAAGAAAGCTAAAATTGTGTTTAACAGTAGCTGCTCTAACAGCTGACTGGCAGGAGGAAATTCCCAGGTGCAGTGAGATGGGGATTCACACTGCATCATACTGTTCCCCCCTACATATGTCAGTGTTAGTCTCCCTGTAGATTGGGTCTGACATTAGGCTGCCTCAAATTTGGGTGCATCTTGGCCCCACCCCAATGTGTCCTGGCGCTGCATCCTGGCCCTGCCCCTCTCATCACTCAACAAGGTTCCCTCCTTGTTTTTTCCTGGCTTCTGTTCTGAAGCTGCTCACTTCCAAAGGACCAATTCATATTTTAGGGAACTTGTTTGCAAAGATGTGATCAAACCCCAAAACGTTAAGTTCAGCCCCTTGACAATGGCAGATGCTTCTCTGTACTGACTTTTCAGGAGGTTGAGTAACTGGGCCTTTCCCACCCCCCTACCCCCTAGCACTTCCGTTTCTTTCCTCCCACCCTTCATAGATATTTGAAAGAGGGAACTTTTGCTGGTTCCCTTTTTTCCCCTTCACAAGCAATGCCAACAGCGCAAGAGAGCAAAGCTGACAAGATCTCTTGAAGACTTCAAGGTATGGTGTGAGAAGCGTTTGGGGGTGGGTGGGAAAATAAGTCCCATATATCTTGTGGACTAGTGTCTTGAAAAGCCTTCCTCGGATAGCAGCTGGAATAAACTGCTGGGGGCAAAATGGGAGTGCAGTTACTGTACAATAGAAGAGAATGGGAAAGCAAAACAACAGATACGGAGGGTTGCAGTTTCAAAAGTTACACTGGATTAGATTCAACTCCATTCTCAACCTTTCAAGCTTAATGGGTGACTTAGGGTCGCTCACCATCTCTCAGATCAACCTGCCGTAATTGGTAGGATTGTTATGAAATTAAAACTACCACTAGCAACTTGAGGTCTTAGAAGAAAAGTAGAATATAAAGTTGATTGAATATGTGTATAAATCATCTCTCAACCACCCGATCTGCATTGTGGATGGTACTGCTTGACTCTATTTTCCCATAAAGGAGCTTCAAGTTTATTTCCACAACAATTTTGTAAGGTAGGTTATGGTGAGAGAAGTAGCCAGTAAGTTTCCATCGTTGAAGATGAGTTTGAAACTCCCTGGTCTGAGTTCAGATATTAAGCACCATTCCAGGCAGCTTATTTAATTAATTCCTCCCTTCCACCACCACCCCATATCCTTCAACAAATTTGTGAGGTGGTATGTGTTGCAGTACTACCACACATAGTACTGTACTGTACTATGGAAGTATCTGACCCTAGAGTCAACTGTGATATTTGTGGTTTAGAAGGAACTTGGATCTTTCTCGTCTTAGTCTAACCGCTTGATCAGTAAGCCTTTCCATTCTGTTTCTGAAGGCAGAAATGTTTCTGTAAACAAAATGTTAATTTGTAAGTTGTTCATTAGTAAAAGTGATGCTAGATGGTTCACAGTGAAGGAGAGGTCAATGTATGTCTTTTGGACATGACTATAGAGCAGTGGTGAAATCCAAATTTTTTTACTACCAGTTCTGTGTGTGAGGCTTGGTGGGCGTGGCAGGGGAAGGATACTGCAAAATCTCCATTCCCACCCCACTCTGGGGCCAGCCAAAGATGGTATTTGCCAGTCCTCTGAACTACTCAAAATTTCCGCTATCGGTTCTCCAGACACTGTCAGAACCTGCTGGATTTCACCCCTGCTATAGAGGTAAACTATATAAAGGGACGTGGTGGCTCAGTGGCTAAGGCGCTGAGTTTGTCGATCGAAAGGTTGGCAGTTCAGTGGTTCAAATCCCTAGTGCTGCGTAACAGGGTGAGCTCCTGTTACTTGTCCCAGCTTCTGCCAACCTAGCAATTTGAAAGCATGTAAAAGATGCAAGTAGAAAAATAGGGACCACCTTTGGTGGGAAGGTAACAGCGTTCCGTGCGCCTTTGGCATTTAGTCATGCCGGCCACATAACCACGGAGACGTCTTTGGACAGCGCTGCCTCTTCGGCTTTGAAACGGAGATGAGCACCACCCCCTAGAGTTGGGAACGACTAACACATATGTGCAAGGGGAACCTTTACCTTTACCTTATAGAGGTGAACAGAGATGGCTTTGTCGGTAATAAAATTGTTAGTGAAACATGAATGCCCAGGAATGAAGAAAAATGTGAGAAACACACTCCAGATTGCCCTGCTTTGACTCTCTTTGATATAAGATGGAGAGGTGACTTCCAAGATTCTGCTATTATGATCTAGATTAATAAAGTTTTAGTAAGAGACTCAGGTGGTGTAGTTCTGGCTGAGAGGCAAAGCCAGCTGGCTAACTTGGTGCCAGTCCTTCTCTCTCAGCCCCAGGAAGGAGGCAATAGCAAACTATAGTAGAACATCTGGTCACGAACGCTTCTGACCACGACCAAATCGGGTTCCGACCAAAAAATTCACAAAGTTCTCCCTCCCCCTGCAGCCGATTTTGCCTTCCGTGTAAGCGCCAAATTTCCAAAATTAGGATCGGGTCACGCCCAAATCGGGTTGCAACCAAAGTTATGGAACGAATTATGGTCATGACCAGAGGTTCTACTGTACTTTTAAAAACATGCCCAGATAATTGCCAGGTATCAAGACTGACTTGAGGGTGCAAATTTCATTTCAAAGTACTAGTATTTGTTTCCTGACATTAATAGCAAAATGGAGTTTCTGTATTCAACAGCAACCAACTTTCCATTTATGTCTTTTAATGGCCTGCTAAAGACATCTGATTGGTTTTCATTGGAATCTGAGGGCTGGGCTTAATGGGTTGATCTAGATCAGTGCAGAGAAGACCAACAAAGATGATTAGGGGACTGGAGGCTAAAACATATAAAGAACGGTTGCTGGAACTGCATATGTCTAGTCTGATGAAAAGAAGAACAAAGGGTGACATAATAGCAGTGTTCTGATATCTTGGGGGCTGCCACAAAGAAGAGGGAGTCAAGCTATTCTCCGAAGCACCTGAAGGTAGGACAAGAAGCAATGGGTGGAAACTAATCAAGGAGAGAAGCAACTTAGAACTAAGGAGAAATTTCCTGACAGTTAGAACAATTAATCAGTGGAATAACTTGCCTCCAGAAGTTGTGGATGCTCCAACATGGAAGTTTTAAAGAAAAGATTGGATAACCATTTGTCTGAAGTGATGTAGGGTTTCCTGCCTAAGCAGAGGGTTGGACTAGAAGACCTCCAAGGTCCCTTCCAACTCTGTTATTCTATTCTATTCTTTCGAGCTTGTTAGCTATGCAAATCCACCTTATTCCCAGGCAATCTATCTTTGAACAGCAATCATGTGCTGGAGCGTTTTTGGAAATGCACGAAGATGTGTTTAATGGACTTTTGGTCTCATTCAGTTGAACAGTCTTTACTAGCCACTGTATGGTTTCCCCATATTCCTTTTTCTTAAATCATGAATTTTTAGCACTCCAAATCTTACAGATGTGATATAATAAATCTAAGTTTGTATCTCTGCCAAGAAATGGCCACCAAGGGTGGAATAAGCCTCTCCCTATTCTGCCCATAATAGTGCTACCCACTGCATTTTTCACCACTTGAAAAATAATAATAATAATAATAATAATAATAATAATAATAATAATAATAATGCTGCATGGAAAAGCAGTTTCAGTTGCTTAAACTTAGAAAAGCTTTCACATGGCAACCAATTAAGCCATATGAACACAGTACAGGATCTCTTGTAGAGTTGGTTTAATTGTTGTAAGAATCCTTACAAACAAATAAAATAATGAAAAATGAAAAGGGCTCCTTGGCTGCCAAATCAAATTTCATGATGCAGAAAGATCTAGCTTTTTTGCCATGTTATTGTCGAGGCTGGAAAGAAATTTAGGAGAAGGATTTAGATGCAAATTCATTTTTTTTATTTTTTTTTATTTTTGAACCAAAGCATATCATCCAAAATGTGTACAGTACTTTTTAAAATATTACAGCACTCTTTTTTTAAAAAAAGAGAGTGAACATTCATACAGTATAGTATAACCTGAAAAAGCATTATATTGGGAAATTATTTTGGATGGGAAAAGTAGGGAAATCTGGCAAAATTGCAAAACTAATATACATAATTTTTGAGATGCTGGGCAAAAAAACAACAACATTGGGGTGCTAACTTTTGTAAAAGACCCTCAGGTTTAGCAGAATTGCATAAATGAGAAAAAAGAGAGGAAATTACCACAGCAGATTTGTAAAATTAGGATGGATTAGAATTGACAAATTTGCTACATACATCCCTCCAATTTGCCTTTATGTACTGTAGGATGTGGGGCCTGCTCGCCACTCTGCTATTTTTCCTCTTTGGCTGTCATGTGGATGCTGCATGTCCCAGGATCAATTTTACATACTTCAATGACACACCGTGCCTGAATTTCAGTGGCTTGTTTCCTTACCCCAAAGTCAATTTCAGTATATGGAAACCAGTGAAAGAGTTGGATCTGTCCGATAACTCCATCGCAACGTTATCAGAATTGGAGTCTGCAAAAAAGCTGGAATCGTTGTTTCTTCACAAAAATAAACTGAAGAGCCTTCCTTCCGACTTCTTTGACAAAACACCCAATCTGAAGGTCCTGAGTTTGGAGAAGAACAAACTTGGCTCTCTATCCATTGAAGAGTCCTATCACTGTCTGAAGGAGCTCCGCGTGGACTGTCACTGCAATGTGGCTCGTGGCATTGTGAAATATTGCCACAACTGCTCAGACCAAGGCATCAAATGCCAGTGCTTCACTTCTGAAAGACTGGATAATGTAACTGATTACTACAAGGATAAGTGCTCTGCTAGCATTGGGTATGGTCTCTATGTTGGCATCATCGTACCAATTTTGATTCTGCTCCTGTTGGGCATCCTGGTTTTCTTTGTAATCCGGAGGAAGGCAGGGGCCCCAATCAATCAAGAAAAACGAATTTCCAACACATCTGAAGGTACTGCTGGACAATCAAGGTACATCAGCCGCTTACCCCAGCCAGGGAATAGATTTCAGGACAAAGAGTTCCACAAAGACTATGAGAATGTCTTGAAAGACCAATCCAAGGGCAGAGTGGGCAAAGTGAAAAGCGGGCAAGGCAACCACCAGAACCGGAAGCAGACTACTACCAAAAGGTGAGCAATCGGGAGGCATTATGTCTTGGGAAAGCACATTATGTCAGCATCAAACTAAAAAAACAAAACGAAACTCATTGCTTTGCTTGGGGCTTGCAAAGGGATGCCCTCCAAATAGGGTGGGGGGGGAGGGGTCATCATGGCCCATTTGTTGCCAGGTTTTAAAAGTTTTAAAGAGTGAAGTGGATGCCTTAAGCAGCTTCAATGTATTTACTCTATATATACATACACACAGTATACACAGTATACACAGTATTTACAGTGTGTATACACTCTATACACACACACACACACATACATATATATATATATATACATACACACACACACATATATATATTTACTGACAACGAAATAAAGGGAGACTAGTATAGATCTATTTCAAGCAATTTAGCTCTCATCAGCTAGCCATACCCTTCTGGGATTCGAACCTGGGCTTGCCGGCATGTTAGGCAGATGTATTAACCTCTAAGCCATAGGTTCTCCTATTTGGGTAACTTACAACCACAACTGAGCCCAAAATTTATCTTGCTAAGTGAGAAATTTATTAAGTGCATTTTGCTCCATTTTACGGTTTTTCTTGCCCCATTTATTAAGTGAATCACTGCGGTTGTTAAATTAGCAACACTGTTATTAAGTGAATCTGGCTTTCCCATTGATTTTTTGCTTGTCCGAAGGTCACAAAAGGTGATCACAGGACCCCAGGACAGTACAACCGTCATAAATATGAACCAGTGATCAAACATCCGAATGTAAATCACATGATGATGGGGATGCTGCAATGGTCATAAGTGTGGGGAAATGGTCATAAGTCACTTTTTCAAGTGCTGTTGTAACTTCAAATAGTCACTAAATGAACTGTTGTAAATTGAGGACTACCTGTACAATACAATATATAATATAGGAACAATCGCAAAAAAAAAATCACATAATAATGTTAGAAATTTACAGTCTTATGGGCCACATTAATAGCTGTCCAGGGCTGAGCGTTGGACATACCTGGTTTAGAGGTGTCAGCTGGTTATTCAGGAAAAAAGGAAGAGCTGTTCAGTAGGAGTACATGGGGGTCTTTACCTTGAAGGAGGCATTTAAACGAATCAGTGGCCAGCTTGAGGTTCAAATGGCTTTTTGGAAGGTCACAGAACTCTGGCTCTGCTTTCTGGCTTCTGGGCCAGGAAATAAGTTCAGCTGAGTCTCTGTTTCGTTCTGCATTGTTGAGAAGATGACTATAGTAGCTTTACCTGCTGTCCTTATTGCTCATTTAACTCTTTTCCGTGTTTTTACAGGTATGCATTTGTTTTATGCTTGTTAGCTGCCCAGACATATTTGATTAAGATGGGAGGCCATATCTATTTGCAAAATAAATAAATTGGCTGTAGTAGTAGATAGTTGCACTATGGAGAGGATTGAATTAGACAATGTCCAAGATCTCACCCAATCCTTACCTTCTGTGATTCTAGGATTTTGCCCATAAAAGCTCTCCAAGATCCCCAATGCTTCTCCCGCCAAAACAAAGATTTGTCAAATTGTCAAATTCTTCAAACAATTCTGGAACTGTTTGGGGGCCACCAGGGCTGGGCTTCAAAAATTTTAGCAAGGGATTCTCTGCCCAGTTGCTGGGCGTGGCCATGGTGGGCATGGCCATGGCGGGGGAGGTGATGTTGTCGTTTTTGCCCTCCCTGGGCTCCTGAGGTTTTCTCGAGCCTCCGGGACGGCAGAAACGGCCTCCCTAGGCTCCGGAGGCCCTCTGGAGGCTGAAAACAGAACTTCTGGTAGGCCCGTTTTTCGCCCTCCCCAAGCCTTACCTCCATCCAAAACAGGCCGTGTGGGGACTCCTGGGAGGGGAGGGGTGGGATAGGCGGGGCCAGCCAGGAGTGGGATTTGGGGATTCTCCGAACTGCACAGAATCTTAGCTAGAGGTTCTCCCGAATCCCTGCGAACCCCCAGCAGTCCACCCCTGGGGGCCACAGAAGAGATACCTTTCAGTATTTCTTCTGCACCTATTAGGCTCTAAAACAACAGGTGTTCTTTTAGAAGGCATTTCATCTCACGAAGAAATATGTACCCACTTTAAACAGGACAATTACGTTTTTCGGAGGAAAATAAGTTTATTAAACTTACAGGACTTTAAACCAGCGGGGTTTTTTTTTTTTTTTTAACCTTGGCCACGTTAAGATGTGTGGACTTCAACTCCCAGAATTCCCCAGCTAGCTCAAAATTGAAAAGCGCTGCTTAAACAAATTGGTCTCCCCAAACAAATGCAACATAGAGAGCCAAAATACCCCTAGTGACCCCTTCTTAAGAGTCAAAAGCATACAACTTCGTTTTCACAGCTCATTCCAGTTGTATAGAAGAAATAAAAGGGGACTTCTGTAGCTGCCTCTTAGTCCAGTCAGCTGCCCCCAGAATGTTTAAAAAAATTAAAAGAAAAAGAAAAGAGTCTGTTAAAAGCAGCATCAGTTCCCTGTCTGTCAGAGAACTGGAATTGAACTTCTCTTTTGTTATGTTCTGAGTGAACCAGAGTGACGTACTTTTTGGTCATATAATCTGCAGCTATCTACGATTCTGGGTCATATACAACTGTTGCTTGACTTGTGCGTTGTGACTTCAGCATAAACGAAGGCCCAATTCTAGTTTGAAATCTGGAAACAGCATGAGGAATAAAAGGATTGGGGTGGTGGTGGATGCATTTGTTTTATTTTAAATTGCTTTTCATCAAGGCTCAGATTGTAGCAATGGAGGTATCTTTTAAACCTGAACTTCCCCCTTTCTGAATTCCTGTTTACATAAGGGAAGTTTGAATTTTCATTTCAGAAATAGATTGTGCATACTATAGCTTGCTCCATTTTTTCAGTTAATTTGCAATTCCTTTTTTTCCTAATATTCCCTATGGGGTGCCTAGATAAAACCCTACAAAAAGGCGGTGGTAATTTGATGATACATATAACTGCATCATCATTTTTTGTGTGTTGTTTTGCATCTTATTGATGCACAAATAATGGTAAAGTATCATCATTAAAGTACCTCAGTACAATCTTGAGGTGAAATGACGAGCTTGCCTTTTCGCTGTGTCCTAGCATAGCACAAAAAGATGAGATGAGATGCAAATACAGATAGTTCTCATCTTATGACCACAATGGAGCCCAAAATTTTTGTGGCTAAGCAAGTCAGTTATTAAGTGAATCCAACTTCCCCCGTTGACTTTGCTTATCAGAAGCCAGATGGGAAGGTTATAACTGGTGACCACATGACATCGGGACAGTGCAAATGTCATAAATACATGCTAGTTGCCAGGTGCCCGAATTTTGATCACATGACTGTGGAGATCCTGCAACTGGTCATACCATACGTCACTTTTTTTACTGACCTTGTAACTTCAAACGGTCACCAAACAAACGGTTGTAAGCAGTGGTGAGTTGCTACTGGTTCTCTCCGGTTCTTGCGAACCGGTAGTGGAAATTTTGAGTAGTTCAGAGAACCGCTAAATACCACCTCTGCCTGGCCCTGCCCCCAATCTATTCGCTGCCTCCCAAGTCCCAGCTCATCGGCTAGAAGGAAAAAATCAGGGCTCACTTGACAAAGAAGAGAAAAAACAAAACAAGACACGTTAGCTTTAAATTGAGAAGCCAAGAAGCTTCCCAACTGATCGGCTAGAACTGATCTGCTCCTTGTAAACCGCTCAGTGGTGGTAGATTGGCAATTGAGGCCAAGCTGCCTGAAAGCAGTTTCCGATGCTCTCGGTGATGGCAGAGCGGCAAAAAACTGTTTAAATTCTTGCCACGGTGCTTCAAAGGGCTGCCCTACAGCTGATCAGCAGTAAAAGGCAGTGTGGTGGTAGACCAGTGCACTCCAAAAACAAATAGGTAGACCAGAACACTCCAAAAACAAATGGGTAGACTGGTACGGCTCTGTAAGCAGTTAAAAGCCTGGTAGTACCTCTGCTCAATCCTAAAGAATTGCTTGTCACATGACCATCAAACCATGCCCACAAAATAAGCCACGCCCACAGAACCGGTAGTAAAAAAATTTAGAACCCACCCCTGCTTGTAAATCGAGGACTACCTCTAACCCAAAGGGTCTGAAAACCTGCAAAAAATTAAATTTTCCAATACCCTCTTCAAATTGATTTTTTTTTAAAAAAAGAGGCGATTTTCTAGCATGAGTATGATGTTTTCCAATATTAAATAATCCAGTACTGTAACATTCAATGAAAATTCATCATCCAGAATAGGTCTTCTCTATTTAACTGTCTGTTTTAGGTTTAGTTAAAAAAAATCTTCGTAAACAAATTCATCATGTTGCATTGACTTGCTAACCTTATCAAGATGGACAGCAAAAGTTGTTTAAAGTTGCAGTGGGCAGAACTGAGAACTTTGAATACAGTAAAGTAGAGAGTTATTTCTCGGGCTTCCTGAAATGCCTATGTGACTACAGGAAGTCTCTCTTTTTCAAAAAGCACAAGACTGCAATAAATTTGCTGGGTTTCTTAATTCTTGGCAATTCCCATTTCCCCCCTAACGATCTGCTGTAGCAAAGTACCCATATTCTCCCATTTTTCATGATCTGTAGATTTTTTTTTTTTAACTCCATCATTCAGTGGCCATTCAACTCTGCATTTCAAAGCAAGGTCTTGAAGAAATTTACCAACCTGCATAATGTAGATCAGTATTTCTCAACCTCAGCAGTTTTAAGATATGTGGACTTCATCTCCCAGAATTCCCCAGCTAGCTTGCTGGCTGGGGAATTCTGTGAGTTGAAGTCCACATGTCTTAATGTTGTTGAGGTTTAGAATCACTGGTCTAGATTACCCAGTTCATATGGCCAGGAACTTGAATAGGCAGTCTGGGGCCATTTGGATGTGAATCCTCATCAGCTCCAATTAGTTTGTCCTCTGGCAGGGGGTTGTGGGATTCTGCCCCAGGCACCTGATGGACCCGGAAGGGTTCCTGACGGAGCTTGGGCCATTTCCCGCCTCCTTAACCCATGATTTGTCCGAGGCC